AAATGTTTCCTCTGACAGAGTAGTCTCATTTCAAAGGAATAAGTGAAAAAATATTTCAAAAATTAGTTAACTAAATTCAACCAACCACCTAATTTAGATGTGCTAGTTCTGATTGGAAAACACAAGTAACAATCCAAAGCAACACAACAACTCCAAAATTACTAACCCACAGTGATGACCTCCAGTGTGAGTGAATCAAATCTCAAACAAACTAACCTACCTCAAAAGAATGGGCAGAAATAAGTTCAAAAAAGTCAAAGACACAACAGCTGAATGAAAGAAGTCAGTCTCAATACATGATATGAAAGAGGATTAAGCAAACAAAAACCAGACGGAAATACAAGAAAACTAAAGTCTTCCAAATGGGAGGGGTCAGGGAAGGAAGGGACAGAATATCAAGCTTGGAGATAGGTGAAAGAATTTATTCAAACAAGGAAGAAAGAATGATCTCTAGTTCCAAGATGCATGGGACACGATGAAACACCAAATCTAAGATTCATGGACATAAAGAAAAATTTCATTCTAAAGGCACAGAAAACTTTAAAAAAATCATAGCAGAAACTTTCCTAGATTTATGAAATTCTAATCCAGACATAGGAAGGATTTGGAATTCAAATGGACAAGATCAGAAGAGAACCTCACAATGTCATATTTAAAATATATTAATTCAGAACAAAGTAAGCAGAGAAAAACCAAGCCACATTCAACAACAAATTTCTCAATAGGAACTAAAAAAAATCCAGGAGGGCTTGGGTGATAAACACTTTCAACAAAGAAACAAGATAAAAAGTAACAGAAAATTAAGTAGCATTTCTATACATCATAACCCTATGAGGAAGAAATAAGGAAAACAATCCAATTCAGTTTCTCCATCTCTCTCTCTCCCCCCTGGAATAAACCTAACCGAGGGATTGAAAGACCCCTGTAATGAAAATGTCAAACCACTTGAGAGAAACTGAAGAACACACTAGCAGATAAAAGATCTCTTATGTTCGCAGATTGGATGAATCAATATTATAAAAATGGCTACCTTATAAAAAGCAAACAAATCAAAATTCTAACACCATTCTTCATAGAAATAGAAAAGAAATCTGAAAATTCATTTGGAAGTGCAAAAGAACTTAGATAGTCAAAGCAATCCTGAGTTAAAAAAATAGTAAAAAAAATGCAGGAGGTATTATGTCTAATTTCAAGTTATGTTACAAAATCAGTATGGGGTTGGAGATAGAGCTTCATTGGTAGAGTTCTTTGTGTACAAGCATAAGGTCCTGGGTTCAGTCCCCAGAACCATGTTTAAAATCCAGGTATGGTGATACATGCTTGCAATTCCAGCTCTGGAGAGGTGGAGACATGCTGATCCATGTAGACTGTTTCTTGGCCAGCCTTGCCCAATCAATTAGACTCATACTATCCATGTGGACTGTTGGTTGGCCAGCCTACCCTAATCAATTAGACTCATACTATCCATGTAGATTGTTGGTTGGCCAGCCTAGCCTAATCAATTAGACTCATATTGAGAGATACCATCTCAACAAAACAAGGTGGGTGACTTGCAAGGAATGACATATGAGACTGAACACTGGCCTCCACAAACACATCCACATACCCACACACATGTGCAAGCCACCCATGTGCATACAAACAAAATACCAGACATCATAGTATGATGGCACTGGGACATGAAACAGAAATGATGATCCAGATAAGGCTCACACAGCATGTGATTTTTAAATAGATGCCAAAAATATTCACTGGACAAAAACCATTCTCATCAACAAATGGTGTTAAGAAATCTGGATATCTATCTATAAAAGAATGAGACTAGATCCGTGCACAAAAGAAATATAAATGTATGAAACTGGAAAAAGGTGACCCAGACACAAAAAGGAAAACTATGTTCTCTTGCACATGCGAATCTGAGATTTGAATATTTAGCCATGCGTGATTAACATGGAGTACTTGTGGAAGCGAGGAAATGAGAAAGAGGCAAGGGAGAGAGGGAGGGAAATAGTAGTAAAATAAAAGTAGAGAAGGAGAATACTAGGGGTGGAAAATAAGCAGGAAGGGGAGACAGAGTGGAGGGCTCAAGCTCATATCTGGTATATGAAAAGCCATATATAAGTCTGTTGGTTGTTTTTTTTTTTTTAATTTTTCGGGACAGAGTTTGTCTGGATAGCTTTGTAGGCTGTCCTAGAACTAGCTCAGTAGACCAGACTGGCCTTGAACTCACAGAGATCTGCCTGCCTCTGCCTCCAGAGTGCTGAGATTAAAGACATATGCCACCACCACTCAGTATCTTGTAACCCAACTAAGTAATTTGTATGGAGAGAGGAGGGTTGACAGAGGTGGAAAATGAGCATAATTAGAATACATTTAAGCAGATGTAAATATGTCAAAGAACAAATTTAATGAAAAAATATACATTTTTCAAATGGGTTAATGAACTGCACACGAAGTTTTATTAATAACAAATGCCAATGATCAATAATTATTTTTTAGTGTTTAACATCTTTAGGTAGCAAGAAGATTTAAGCTAAAACTACTTTGATATTTCATCTCACAACAGAATAGCTATCATCATGAAAACAAGAGCAAATGCTAGCAGACGGTGGGGAATTATTCCCTGATAGTGGGAGTGTAAACTGGTGTGGCCACTAGAAATCACTGGAAAGGTTTCTTTAAAAAATTAAAAATAGAACTACCACATGAGACAGATATACTTGGGTACATATCCAAAGTATTTTATGCTATATCACACAGATACATTTTTGTTTACTGCTGCTCTGTTCACAATAGCAAGGAAAGCAAGCATAATGGCTACCAGGTAAAGAATAATGAAAATGTGGTAGACAAACACAATGAAATTTTGTTCAACAATAAAGAAAAATTAAACTGCAGAAAAACCGATGCAACTAAAATACACTAAATGAGGTAACTCTGGCTCATATAAAAAAGCATCCATTCTTCTATGCAGATACTATATTTTAATTATATATATGGATTTATGTGAAAGTGAGTGTACACAGAAACCAGGAAACTAGAAAGGAACCAACAAGAATGGGGAAGAGGCTTTAAGAGAACAGAGGGAGTTGAGCACTTTCTGATGACAGTAGGAGGGTAAATACTGACATACTGCTTCAGTAGGGATGGGGGAAAGAAACACAGAAGATGGAAGGGAGGATGGTCAACCAGTATGTGCAAAGAAGCTACAAGAAAGCTGCTGTTTCGTAGGCTAATTAAAGAATGAAAGTTTCGACAGAGGGACCATGTGCAAGTAGATAAACCTACTCCCAGGAAACAAAGTCATTAACTAAGAACCTTGGCATCAGGGATTGGCTCTCGAGGTCCCCAAAAAACAAGGGATATGAAAGTTGATGGTTGCCACCAGTACAAGATTGTAAGATTCTTGCTGAAGACACCATATATTTTGGTCTTAAGGCAGTGCAATAAAACTGAGCAGGACAGAACCTTTCAGAAGGATAGCCCTTAAAGTGCCAGAAGGGACTGTGCAGGCTGGCATGAGAAAGCTGTCACCAACCTCACTTGGTTGTGGACCCGCCACCCACCCTGAGTGTGATCCAATGGCCTACTAGGCAAGGCATGTCCACAGGTGCAAAGGTGGCATAATGTTTACGCAGGCAACCGATGGCTGTTGACTAGACTTCAGGAATTCTCCACTGGAGGGAATTCGAGTGTGGGGCTATAAACCTTGCCAATGACTTGATGAGCCTGTTGAATTGCTTTCTAAACACTGATATTTATGCTCACAGAGTAGTCCTGTTGTCATCTTTGGTCAGGGAAGCTTCACTTTGCATTGGGCTGAGGTTACTGCAGACTCAAAGTGGATGTTCAAGTGCTGAAGTGAAGATGTGGATTCTCAGTCATAGGTGGGACGTCCCTAGCACTTCCTTCCAGGCTCAGGAAGCATCATGCAGGCGTGGACAGAGTGAATTTAAGTGAGAGGAGAGGGCACAATATTGTGGAATACTGTCTTCTGGATGCTGTTACACTTGAGCTCTAGGCAGCTATGGTTAACTACACAAGACTATCCTAAGACTGGGCCTGACAGCATTCTGTCATAGAAGAAGAGGGAATCAAGAAGGTTTGTCCCTTCTTGAGGACTTTCATTTCAGATTTTAAATTAACATACAGATATGTGCCTGCATGAGTTTATGTGCATCACATGCATGCAGGGGCCGGATGAAGCCAGATACAGGCCATTAAATAATTGCTGGGAGGCAAGAGACATTTTCTCTCTGCTATAGCCTCTTTAGTAAGTTGTCCACACTACTGTAAATAACCTCTTACCCATATTCTTGTAAGTAAACCTAATTAAATTCATTTGTTTATGCACACACAAAAATCCCTTGCAAATTAAATCTAATAAACACATTAAGATTATACATCATGGTTAAGTTGTTTTCATCCCAAGAATGCAAGGTTGAGTCAATATATGCTAACCAATAAATGTAATACACATTACATTGGACACCAATGCAAACTATATAACCATCTCAGTTTGTTCAGGATAGACAGCTGACAGTCCAACATGCCTGCATGAAGGTCCTGTAGAAACCAGGGACAGAAGAACACATCTCATAGAACGAAGTCTGTATAGTTTAAATCTATAACAAAATTATAGTGAATAAAAAATACTTGAGGCCATCTACTCTACAACCTAGAATGTGACAAGGGTTCTCACTCTCTCTACTGTTCTTCAATATTAAGATTGGAGTCTTTGAAAAACAGCAATAAGACAGCAGAAATAAATTAAAGGGATATAAGTAAGAAAGCAAGACAGATTATCTCTACTTGCAGAGAACATGTTACAAAAATGATCTAGTGGAATCCACTAGAAAACTCTTGGGTCTGTCAAAATCTTTTCAGCAAAGTGGTAGGATACAAAGTCAACATACAGAAATCAGCTGCATGGTTGTGTCTGAAGTGCTGAATATGAACTACTTCCTTATATAGTAAACTCTCAATTCAATATATTTTACCTGTTAGAAGGGCTGTTCGGTATTTTCTGTTGAACAGCATGTCTGTGCTTGGAGCCAATGGAAGGACGAAGATCTGGAAATGTGTTTTCTTCTTCAGGTGTTAAAGCTAGGCCAGCAAAAGCTTCATTTAGCATGTCTTGTCTGTCCAAGGGGCCCAGGAGTTCTGTTTTATACACAATGAGTAAGATATGAGAAAAATGCAAATGCAGTCTCTGTTAGTTTGTGGCTGGCAATTATCATGCCCAGTGCAGCTTTGTCATCTGCTATGCAGCTCAGGGCAGGAGGGGCGGGGACAATGGACAGTTCCTGTCTCTTATGAGTACTGTCATTCTGCTTATTTCAGCCAGGGTCACCAGCAATCTTCTTCTCAAGATCAAATTTGAAAATTCTTTTAAATTTTGCCTTTTCACAGTGCTTTGTTAACATAATTAATCATTAACTTTTTCTTAATGTTACTCAATTGCCAAACTACTATTTTGGACAACTATGAGGAGTTAGTCTAATATATAGTACATATATTTAAAAGGAAAGTAATTTTTTAGATATTTTATGTGTATATATATGTGCTTACAGGTGCATATATATGTATATATGTATATGTGCTTACACGTGTGCATATATGTATATGTGCTTACATATGTGCATATATATACATATATATGCTTACATGGCTGTATGTGCATCACATGCATGCAGGTGTCAGAGAAGGCAAGACGGCCTCAGATTCTCTACAACTGGATTTATAAGCAGTTGTCAGTCCACTCATGAGGGTCCTAGGAACCAAACCCAAGTGTCCTGCAAGAGCACGGACACACTCTTAGCTGCTGAACCATCTCCCCAGGCCTCTAAGACATTGAAAATTTTTCTTTAGGTCAGTATTATTTTAAGATTTTAAGGTAATCAAAAACCACGTGTGTGTGCACATGTGTGCTCGCACATGCATGAACCAGTGTGGCATGCATGAGAAGGGGCTCAACATGTGGGAACTGAGTCTCTCCTCCCACTAGGCCCCAAGGAGCAAACTCAGGCCCCCAGGCTCAGCGGCAAGCATTTTGCTCTCCAAGCCATTTTGCAAGCCCCTACTTTAATACTTCTGTTTATTTATTTTTGGTGGTGAGGGGAATTAAAACCAGGGTCTCATGCATGCTAGGGAAGTGCTCTACTACTGAGCTATACCCCTCAGCCTCCAATTTGAGTTTTAAAATGCTCAGGAAGACTCACATTTCCATGTCACAGACATGTAAAGATGGGCAGACAAATCTCCACACCTTCCAGGACATTGTTTAGCAGGTTGAAACATAACGAGTCTATGAAAAGTGGGTTAATCATGAGAAACATAAGCCCTGTGAGAAAATGAAACACTCCCAGGACCTAGAAGTCACAGTCCTTGTCACAGTGTCATGCTGTCACTAGTGAGGCCAAACTCCTTGTTTTCTTCTAGCAGTTTTGTACTTCTGGGTCTTATATCTAAATCTTTCATTATTCTGAGTTACTTTTTGTACAAGATATACGGTAATGGCATAGCTTAAGGTTTCACATATGAATATGGTTTTCTGGATACCACTAACTGAACTTATTGAGAAGACACTGCCTTTCCCATTAGCGGTCCCAACATCCTTGTTGAAAACTGTTTGACCATGTACCCAAAAGTTTATGTTTGGGGTCTCCATTCCATTTGGGGTTCATTGGTCTATATGGTTACCTTTGGTTAAGTATCCCAGATTTGATTACTCTACCACTGAAACCCATCTTCAGGTTTCCCTTCACTATTCAGTGTCTTTTGCACGTTCACAGGAACTTTTAAGGGAGGGCTGTCAAGATGGCTCAGCAGTAGATGAATGATGTGGGAAGTCCTGTGTATATGTCAATAAAGCACTGTTGGCCATAGGGAACCAAGATAGGTGGGACTAGGAGTCCAGAAGGACTCTGGGAAGGAGAAACACAGGAAGTCAACGATGTAGCTCGCCAGAGAAATAAGATGTCTGGAACTTTGCTCTGGTAAGAGAAATACTTAGATTAACAATTATGGGGTAAATACTTAAGTTAGTATGAAACAAGCAAGGCCAACAGCTTCATAATTAATATAGCCTCCTGTGTGTTTATTTGGGACTCATGCGGCTCTGGAACCAGGCTGGCGAAAAGGTTTCTCTTCACAGGTGAAGCTGCTCAGCACTGATTCTGAAGGCCTGAGCCTGATCCCCTGAGGCCACAGGACGGAGGGAGAAAACTGACTCCCGCAGGCTGTCCTGACTGCCACTGGCACACAGATGTAAGTGGATAAATTTAAACAAAAGTTAAGATCCATCTTTGTAGTTTAAAAACCATCATTGCACTTGGATAGGCTGCCTTAATGGTGTTGCTATTTGTCAAAGTTTGATTTCTAGTTCATGAATATGAGATGTCTTTTGACATTTATCTTTTTTTCTTGAGACATGAGTCTACACATGTTGTACAGGCTGGACTTGAACCACTAGACTCAAGAGCCTTCCCATTTCAGTCTCCCAGCTCTTGGGGCTACAGGAGTGTGCACTACACCTGCTCTCTACTCCCTTTCAGCAGTGTGCCCCCTCCCGCCTCTCACCTCCGCGGTAAGGTTCTATTCCTCTCTTAGTGACTATTGTGGCTACAACTTTTCATCACCATCTTTTAGGTCACTCCCTTGGAGCATGATGACATGTTGATTTGTCTCTTATCACTTTATTGTATTTGCTTATCTAACAATTTTTTTCAGTGGAATTTAAAATTTAAGAGTTTTCTTTATGTAAGATGATCATGTAATTAGCAAGCTGGTCATTTATTTGTTTCTTTCAGATTTTGATCGTTTTTTTCTTTTAAATCTCTTTGGCATAGTTAATCTGGCTAGGGAATTCCAACACTTCGTTAAATATAAATGTAAAGAACAGACATCTTGGTTTATTTCCTTTGTCCTACAGAAACGGCTTTCAGCCCTTCAAAATTGTATTTATTTATTGTATGTACCGCTGTGCATACACATGAAGGTCAGTCTGTCCACTGTGTGGGCTGTTTGGACAGAAGTCAGGCTGACATGCTTGGTGACACCGCCTTCACTTGCTGGCCCCCTTGTCAGCTCAGACTGTCAGTTTTCACCACTCCGTCTGTTACAGGCTGGAAGTCTGTCATATGCAGCCGTCCTTGTGTTAAGGTTATTTCCCCTTTCGCAGCTTTACTATGCAAAGGGGTAGAATTTGCCGCATGCCATACTACTATAGGGAAGACCCTTCAGCTTTCGTCCCTCATTCTGTTAATGTGACAGAGCACCGTGACTTTCATTTGCTGAACCAGTCTAACTTTAGACATAAGTCCTGCTTGGTTACTGTGTCTAAATCTTGCTTTGTATTGCTGAATTTGGTTTGCTGGAGTTTTGTTAAGGACTTTTCTATCAGTACTAATCAGATACACTGGTCAACAGTTTTCCTTGCTTTTGTATGACTTTAGCATTAGAACAACACTACTTTTTAAAAAATGGATCTGGGAAGGTACTTCCTCAATTTTTGGGAAGAACTTAAAGAAGATGCTAGGAATGTCTGTTTAAATGTTTGGTAGAATTCTCCAGGGATGCCAGCAAGTCCTGGGCTTTTCTTTGTTGGGAGGTTTGGTTACTAATTCAGTTCACTTACTACTTACTTGTATGCCTGTCCTATTTATGATATAGTTTTGGTAGGTCGGCATGCACTCACATAATGCTGGATAAACACCCTCATCTGATGTACTAGCTGTGACTCCCCAGAGGCATTTCTGATCCTAGCAGAGCTGCTTTTTGCTGTGGTCTGTCGATTTTGTTGTTGAGTTTTTGAAAGCTGCATCGTGTCATTAACATTTTCTTTTGTTATTTTCTATTTATTATTTTCTGTTTTAATCTTCTTTCCTTTTGCTTCCTTTGGTTTTAATTTGTTCTTTTAGTGGTTTCTGCAGACACACAGTTAGCCTATTTATTTGATTTATTTGAGATTTTCTTTTTTTGTAATGTATATCATAAATTCACATATTTTCCCTTTTCTCAAGAAGTTTTTGAATTTTCTTTGTGACTCCCATTTGTCTCATTGTATGTATATTACTTTGTTTTCAAATATGTATTTTCCAGTTTCACTTCTGCTACTAAGCTTTGGTTTAATTCCACTGTGGTCAGAAGATGCTTTATATGACACATCTTTTATTAAAAGACACTTAAGAACCAGAGGGCATCTCAGTGGTGGAGCATTTGCCTACTATGCCTGAGACCCTGGTTTTGATACTCAGAACAACAAAATAAAAATAAAAGATTTATTTTATGGCCTTAATTTGATTAGTCTTGGAGAATGTGCCAGGGCATTTGACAAGAACATGAATTCTAGTTGTATGAATAGTCTGTATATATCTGTTAAGTCTACATCTACGGCATTACTGAATTCTCTATACCCTATTAAAACATAAAAGAAACTATGAATTACTTAGAATTTTATTTTAGTCTTTTTTCCTAGAACAAATATTTAAGCTTATAGTTCATATACCAGATTCAGTTTAAAGATGTTTACTCCATAGTATTTAGAAGTTATTTTCAGTTATTTATCAACAATGGAAATTGGTAGTTTTTTCTTTAAATTTTCAAATTATTAAAAAGATAACACATTATTAGATATAAAAATATATAAAATTCAAATTTCAGTGTCTAAATGAAGCCTTACTGGGGCTTAGCCACCCTTGTTTTATAATATAAAATGTCAACAGCGTTCATTTGAGTAGTGTAATTGAGCCTAACACACTTTCTGATTCTTGGTGAAGTCCTTGAACTCTGCTGTGGCTCAAAACATTTTAATTCTACTTCCTCTTTTTTCTTTTGAACTATCTTTATTCTCTCCTGTCTTACACATGCTCTGAGGATAGATGGACAAGAGTGAAAAATTCAGGAGACTGAGGAGACTGAGGTATGACCCCTCCTCTTACCAGCCACCTTCGTGAAGTCACTTACCTCTCAGCTGCCCTGTCCTCACTGATTGCCAGAAGTGCGAAATTAGCACACATCTGTCATATCATCACTGGGAGGCAGAGACAGGAGGATTGGGAGTTCAAGTCTAGCTTGGGCCACATAGACTTTCTCTAGGACAGTAACAGTTCCTGAAATGTTGGGTATAAAGTGTGTGCTTTCAACAACTGTTTGACTCAAGA